GGAAGGGGGGGAAAACAGGGGACATCTGTAGTAATGTCAACAATAAAAAATAATCTTAAAAGAAAAGAAACAATAGGGAGCACTAAAATGGATAGATTTATCGGTAAAATTAATATTAGCTATATAATATATAGCTATACTATATAATATATACAATTTTAACTATATAAACTTTCTATAATTAGTAATTACAGGTAATTTTTATGTTTGAAATAAGATAAAAATGAAAACTCTAGACCTGAGCTGTCCAATATGGTAGCCACTAGCTAAATGTGACCATTGGGCACTTGAGATGTAGCTAATTTGAGTTGGGATATGATGGAGTGTAAAATGCACACTGGATTTCAAAAACTTAGTGTGGAAAAAAAAATGTAAAATATCCCATTAATAATCTTTATATTGACTACAAGTTGAAGTAAAAATATTTTAGATATGAGTTAAAGAAGATATATTATTAAAATTATTTTCACTAGCCCGGCCAGGCGTGGCTCAATGGTTGAGCGTCAACCTAGGATTCAGGCGATTGGGGTTCGGTTCCCGGTCAGGGCACATGCCCGGGTTGCGGGCTCAATCAGTGTCTCTCTCATCATTGATGTTTCTGTCTCTCTCTCTCCCTCTCCTTTCCTCTCTCTGAAATCAATAAAGATATATTTAAAAATAAATAAATAAAATTATTTTCACTATTAGTTGTTAAATTGGTTACCACAAAATTTAAAATGTGGCACTCAGTAACACTGGTCTAGATTACAAATCAGATGATGGAATGGCAAGACTGGAGAGAGAGGATTATTCTAATGAGTTGTCATCATTAGATAAGTTTTTTGTTAAGAGGGTAAAGTGAATAACTATAGATTTTGTTATAAACAAAATTTATACTTAGTATAAATGTTTCAAAAGAATAGAAATATCACCTCAGTGTTTCCAAACCATCTGAAAAAAAATAAATAAATAAGGGGGATTTAGAAAACTTTATCAGTACATCAAAGGAAGGAAATGTAAGGTGCAAAAAAAATGAGAAAAAGAAAAAATAAGATGGCAGAAATAAGTCCCAATTTTCAGTAATTATAAAATTTGCAATCTAAACTACTAAATTTGACTTTCTTTGAAGCACATGTACAATAAAGCATCATCTGCACACTGTATTGTACGCCCGTTGGCCCAAGCAAAGTCTCTTTCTGTCCCATTTCCCACCTCCACCTAGTCCCCACTTCCTTTCCCTCTGGCTATCCAGGAGAACATAATTTTTTAATTACACACAAACAAAAATTGAGCATACAAAATTTTAACGTACCTTAGATTTCAAAGAAAGTTTCAAGTGATTTCAAACAGTCAATATGACACAAACCATGTTCTCTGATCTTGGTTCAATTAAACTAGAAAACAACAATAAGATAGTTTTGAAGAAACGTATGTTTGTTCACTGTACAATGAACTCCTAAGTATGAACTCATGGAATCAAGACAAAAATCAAGACAAAAATATTAGAACTGAATAGTAAATGTTCAGTTAAATGTTAGAACTAAATAACAGTAATAGTGGTACATATGAAAACTAGTCGAATGCAGTTATATCAAAATTACAACTGTAAAGTCACTCAGCAAAAAATATTTAAAAGATAAAAAGATAATTAGATACTCAACTCACTAAGCAAGACAGGACACCACATCATATATTAAAGAAGAGAGAAGGAGGAAAAGAATAAAGTTAAGAGCTACAGTTAATTAAATAGCAATCATGGCGTCAATACTACTAAATATTGGCTTTATAAACATTTGTAGAACAAAGCTATAAGACTTATCAAGAAAAAAGGGAAAGGGCATAAACAAACAATATTTAAAACAAAAATGGTACAATCTCAGAAAAATAGTGTTTTTAAAATCATAAAATAATAGTATGAATTAAATGCTAATAGATTTGAAAATGTAGATACATTGGACTAATTTCTTAAAAAATAGTTACCAAAATTGGCTTAAGAAGGAACACAGCCCTGGCCGGTGTGGCTCAGCTGGTTGTACCAAAAGGTGGCTGGTTTAATTCCCGATCAGGGCACGTACTCCGTTCCTCTCTCTAACATCAATAAAGAAGAACATTTTAAGAAGAATTAGAAAGCTTCAATAAACAAACAAAAAGTTTAAAGAAAGTGAATTGATAATCAAAAGCCTTTCTCTGTAGAAGCACAAGGCCAGAATGTTTGATGGGTGATTTTCCAAAACATTCAACGGACTCTGACAAGTTTTAAAAAAAGAAAAGAAAAAGAAAACAAGTGCATTTTTACTCTGGTATGGTACAACCTCAATGCCAAATGGAATGCTAGTATGACTTGATATCAGATTACTAATCTTAATTAATTTATTAATTACATTATTAGATTAAAACAGAAAATACATAAGATCATTTCAATAGATGCTGAAAAGATATTTGACAAGAGTCAATACCCATTCATGCTAAAAGAAATTCTTAGGAAATTAGTAATAGGAGATGAATTCCTTTATTTCTTAAGCTATATTGTTAAACATGATACAAAAAACTATTGAACATCACAATTAATGATATAATTTCAAAAGCATTAACAATAAAGTCAAGGGTGAGACAAGGATCTCTACCACCACTGCTTATATTCAACATTATACAGGAGGCCCTGGCCAATACAATAAATAATAATTTAAAAAGAAAATTTAAAACTCCTTCTCCCCAGATGATGATTTTCTACATGGAGAATCAGCCTAAGAAGTTTACAAACTATTATAACTGATAAGAGACATCAATAACATTTTAAAATTAATAATAACATCTCCACAGGTAATTATGAATTTGAGATTATAATAAAAAAATAGATCCCATTTACAACAGCAATGAAAACTATAAAGAATCTGTGTATATAGCTTATATCAATATAGTTATACAGGCATATAAACATATCAAAAATGTAGGACACAATTATTGAAAAAATTACAAAACATTAATAAAAGATATAATGAATAAAAGACTGGAATAAGTACCAAGTTCATAAACAAAAAGGCTCAATATGATTAAGAAGCTAATTCTACCCAAATAAATCTACAAATGTAATACAATTCCAATCAAAACCCTAACACCTTTTTGTGAACTTGATAAGCAGATATAAAATTTATATGACTAGCAAAGGATCACAAAAATATATAGTTATAGTAATTAAAATAGAGTAATATTGCTTAGGGATTACGCAAACTCACACACAAAAAGACCTACACGTACATGAAAACTTGATATAACAGAGGTGACATGATATATGAATAAAGACTAATCATTTAATAATGGGTGATATCCATTTGGAAAATAGATACTACTTTATTCCCCCACACAGCAACCAATTTCAGCTAAATTAAGGCCTAACTGTAAAAAATAATGGTTTTAATTTTAAGTTTTTTAATTAAAAAAGTTTTTTAAGTGTAAAACTTTTTAGGAAATCATTATGACTTCACAAAATACAAATCATAAGGAAAACTGATAAATTTGACACAAATAAAAGTTAAAACTTAGTATTTTTTCATGTATAAACCAACAAAGGATTAAAATCAGTACTTATAGCCCTGGCCGGGTGGTTCAGTTGGTTGGAGGTTGCCCCGTACGCCAAATAGTTGCAGGTTCAATTCCCAGTGAGGGCACGTGCCTCGGTGCAGGTTCGTCCCCCCGGGGGTGTGCACAGGAGGCAACCGACTGATGTTTCTCTCTCACATCAATGTTTTTCTCTATCTCTCCCTCTCTCCCCCTCTCTCTCTCTAAAAATCAATAAAAACATATCCTCGAGTGAGTATTTTAAATAATCAGTACTTATAAAGGGCTTATAAATCAAGTAAGGGGGGAAATGACAGTACAAAAATGGGCAAAATATCTGAGCAGGCAATTTAGAGAAAAGAAAAAAATAGTCAATAGATGAAAGAAAACTGCTCAAATCTCACCAGTAACCAGAGAATTATGAAGTAGAACAACAGTGAAAAAACTATTTCAAATTCATCATATGGCAAAAGTTTGCAAATAAATGTTGGCAAGAATACGGGAGCAATGGGAGCTCTGGTAAACTATTATGGAGCAATTTGAAAATAATTAAGTTAAAAGTGTAGGACTTCAATCTACATTTATAGATACATATTCTAAGAAAACTCTCTCACACACGTGTACACAGAGACATAAAAATATATAAATTGCATCAATGTTTGTAATAGCAAAAAAATAGAAAAAATTTTCATTCACCAAATGAAGAGAAAAATAAATTATGATATATTTACCCATAATTTCTGGTATATAGTAGTTAAATTAACTTCAGTTACATGTATTAACATTAGTAATTCTCAAAAACATAATGTTTTTATTATTATTTTATTTTTGGTTTCAACTTTATTATATGATATAAAAGTGTTTCCAACTCATTATTATAACAATTATTCATTTATCCCTGGATCTCAGAATAAACTATGAAATCTTAAAACGGGCATTTGTTCTGTTCTTTTTGTTGTGTCTTTCACTTACTGCAGAACTGATTGTTTTTCAGTTACTTTTTAAAAACATAACGTTTTAAAATGGTATTTACTAAATGAAACTTGAGAACATGCAAAATAATACAATTTATTGGCACTTGTTATAGTAGAATCAAAAGATACTTGGAAATCATAAACACAAAATTCAGGAGAATGTTCCTCTCAGGAGGGAGAAAATGAAATCAGGGAAGACTACATAGGAGGCTTCGACTGCCGCAGAAATGTTTTAATGTTTTTGAAAACCTGAAGTAGAGATAACAGAACGTTAAGATCTGATGAAGCTGGGCGATGAGCGAATGGGTGCTTATGTAATATTCCCTGTTGCCGTGAGGAACACTGCAGTCCTGGGATTTCGAGCCAAACACGGAGCGTATGCTGACTTCGACAGGGGGTCATTCAACAGCTATCCAAGTGTGGCCAGGGCCTACCGTGTGGGCCTGAAAAGAATCTGAAGTGGAATTGGGTAGGAAATCAATGTACTGGACCTAAACATGTTGTGAAGCAAACTGGGTAGGAGGCTGCAGACTTGATACAGACAGTAGAGTGAAGTAATAGCGTATCTTAACCTCAGAAAAGCTCAGTACCTTCCAAAGGGTATGGACTCAGTCTCTGTCTTTTTTAGTGACTGTTAAAAACTGACTCAATATGTTGCTGAGTGGCTCCAGAAGAATCAGCTCTAGTGTCTGGTCCAAAATCTCTGGCCTGTAGCAACCTCATTCTACTCCAATCTCTCCCCCAACTGGACTGGGGTAATAACCCTTGTTGGCCTGGAATGGTAGAATTTTTTCATTCCTGGTTGTCTTTTTAACCCTAGGAAGGTTTAGAATCAAATACAGAGATGAGTAAATAAATCAAACTGTCACATTAATACTTTTGTGTTACATTCAAAAACAGGTTCTAATAATCACTGGAACAATCTGTCTGAATTTGGTATTTATGGAGATTATAGGGTTTAAGGGTTTTGGCATATGATTAGAGTTGATTCCATTTTACAACATGCAATTGAGTAATTAATTTTATAGGCGTGAGTTGAAAAGTGTAAGAGACTTTAGCTAAGTTTTTAAACAGCACTGAAATGTTTTTAAAGATTTACTGTATTTATCAGTTTGTTCTATCAGACTTAATAGAGTTGTTCAAGTACTTGGGAAGGCTATGCTTGTCAGAGGCAGTTGAAGTGTTGAAAAGAAAACCAACGTTAAACTTATAAATACAGCTTTAATGACGAAGGAATTTAATCAACTGAGTTGTAATTGGGACTAATTGGTTAAGCCTGTACTCTTTTCACCATGCATTCCTTACACTTTAATCAAAGGAAAATTTTAATTTTTATATTTGACTAATTTCATGAATAGAATAATAAGTTTTGTAATTTGAATTTAAAAGATTAAGGAAAATCTAGTTTTTAAATCTGTAATTCTAAGAAATTACAAATATTAACATTAACAGCCTGCAAATAATCTTTTTCTATGCAGGAAAGCTACCCTCAGGAACGGGCAAAAGCTCCACTGATTTCTGTAAGTGCGCTGATAATGAAATAAAAAAATCTCCCTCACTTTTTTAAAATAAAAAATATGTACAGGTTATCTATAAGTAACACTACAAATATTTATTGGAAATTTTTTAAAACCTTAAACATCAAGAGAAATATACTTTCCTAAATGAAAAATTCAGTATTAAAAATACGTCAAGTCTCCTTAGATTAACATAAAACACTTTCAATAAAAAGTACCAAGATTTTTAAATTACAAAATTATTCTAAAAAATAAGTTTTTAAAAAATCAATAATTACCAAAAATGTTTGAAAAATAAAAGTTCTAAGGAATGACTCAC